GGTTAGGTCTTAAGCATTCCTATCAAGTCTGAAGCATTTTCTTGCATAAACAACTTGTACATCATGCTTTATAAGTTGTAATTAAGAGATTTTTGAAATTCTTGCATAAAATGGTTGTAACTTGTGCTTAAAATCTTGTAATTAAGACATTGGTCTAAATGCTTATATATGTAGTATAGATATATGAAATACATGGTTATATGTAAATGTGGAAAGTGGGGTGTTACAAATGAGGGAGAGGAAGAAGAAGAAGAAAGTGAGGAAACAAATGAAGAAGAGGGAGTTAAGGGAGAGGGGGAGCAAGAGCTCGAGAGAATGGTGCATAATAAGCACATCTGTTTTCCTTGCCCCACCCAATGCAAGCAAATCATCTAGTCCAGTTGGTCGAGCAAGAGGGACTATTGAAACAGAGGTGCACACCTTGAACCTTAACCTGCCTACCCAACTAGAGGTCGCTTCTGCCTCTGGTCTGCATAGTCGCAGAGATACCAAGCTGCAGGTCTCATCCTCTCAAAAGGATGAGACCTTTGAAAATATAAGTGGCATGTCTCCCCATGCCACGACACTTCTCATACAGAGAAATATGTTTCCTCTGTACTAGATGTTTTCACAACTTGTTCAGAGCAATCTTTAGGTGCACAAGACTCTGAGGCTCTCGACCAGCCTCTTCGTCCACTCATAGATGACCTTCCATCTAACTCTAAATTGGTTAGAAGAGCACATCATGACATAACGTTTGTAGTATCCTCTTCTAATGAAGAGATACGAGGATCAGACGGAGATCCTTCCAGATTCAACATAAAAACATATCTGAATGAAGGTGTCCTTGGAACTAGGACTCATTCTAGCCCTTGTGTTGAACCAGAGGTTACCTTTCCTTGATATGCCACCCTTATCCCTAGTACACCTCTTTGTGATATGCCACCCTTATTTCCTCATCAAAATATTTTCCAAATAATACCATATAGAATAGACCGCAGTCACTGGAATTATTATCAATTCAAATTCATATGGTCAAAATTCCTATTTATTTTTTACAAGAATCATCACTTGACAAGTTAACACATAATCCGGTCAACCTTGTCCGGATTACAAATCCGGACAACACCTCACATGGATTGACCGATTTACCACTTAGCTTAAGACTCAAAACCTTGTCCGGATTACTAATCCAGACAACACTATTCATAATCGTCCGATTTAACAATCCGGATGCCATGTCCGATTTAAAATAAACCGGCTATCTCATAGTCATATTCCTACTTCTCCTATTTAAACTCATAGCATGATTTAAAATTCATAAATCGCCTAAACACATAAACCGGCTAACTCAAGTGATCGATTTACCCATAAACCGGTTAAGGTATGTTTGGTTTAGATCTAATCTGCTCAACCCTCATCCGGTTTAAGGCCATATCATTCATGCCTTAGGCGGTTTAGCCCTAATCCGCTCATGCTTTGATCAATTTAGCTTAAAAACCGCCCACCCTTCATCCGGTTTAACACTTATCCGAGTAAAACTTAAATCTGTTATAAAGCTTTGTTAGGACTGAGAAATCAGTATTAATTGTATTCGTCTTGAAAGTTTATAAAAAGTCTATAATTGTAAAAGTCAGCGTGTTTGACTTTTCTTATAGAAGTTTGACTTTGACTTTGTTTAGTTAGTTTGACCATATAAATAGGTAGTGGTCTTTGTAATTAGTAGAAGAGGAGAGCTTATTGTAATAATTCATACGTAATGAGAGTTTGACCAGAATTTAATGTTTGACTTTTCCTCTCATCTCTCTTAAAGTTCATCTTAATGTTCTTACATGAATTATCTGATCTTCCATGATTGTTGTGATTACATGAAGATTGATCAGTGATTTGGACTCCACAATCTTTAAAACATAATTCGATTATGCAATTCAAAAAGGTTCAAATAATTTTAACCACTTACCTTGAATTACTTTTTGGAATCAAATTGAATCTACTTCTTGCTTCCAAAATAATCCGGTCAACTTCCCTCTCTCTTTTAAATCGCACACTAGAGGTTTCGAAAAATAGCCAGAAAAAGAATAGAGGCTTAACCCCCACCCCTTTATATACTTTCTCAAATTAGAAAGAGACGGTTTAAAGCAGCCTTTATATGCATGCATTCATACTCATGCTTATATATATAACCATGCATACAAGTATGCATATATATATATATATATACGTATTTAACATATGCATACAATTTCACATACTAGCATGTTTAAATATAACAATTTATCATGCTGTCACATAATTATTTAACAAATAATCACATACTAATTACCTTGGGTGATATCCAGAATCCAGTTATCACAATACCCTGATCTTTCGGTCAATCACAGCTTTTGGTGTTTCCACAAAGTTCAGTTTACTGTCTAGTTTGACTTCTGGAAGTGGTACAGCCAGACTTGGATCAGCTAAACATTTTCGCAAGTTTGACACATGAAATGTATTATGGGTCAGACTTAGTTCTTCTGGTAGCTCCAACTGGTAAGCCACTGGCCCAATTCGTTTACATACTCTGAACGGCCCAACATACCTCGGACTGAGCTTACCCTTCTTTCCAAATCTGGCAATACCCTTCCATGGAGAAACTTTCAACATTACAAGATCACTCACACAAAATTCAATCGGCTCTCAACAATTATCGGGATAATTTTTCTGGCGGTCTTGTGCCGTTCTTATTCTTTCACGGATCTGTTCAATCTTTTCAGAAGTTTCTTGAACAATTTCAGGACCTGTTAACTGTCTTTCACCTACCTCGTTCCAGCATAACAGCGTTCAACATTTACGTCCATACAATACTTCATATGGTGCCGCTTGGATGCTGGAATGATAACTGTTATTATAAGCAAACTCTATCAACAGCAAATGATCCTTCCATGATCCCCTGAAGTCAATAATACAACTTCTCAACATGTCTTCGAGAGTCTGGATGGTTCTTTCACTTTGCCCGTCAGTTTGCGGATGATAGGCTGTACTTAATCCGATTTCAGATCCCAGAGCTTGCTGCAAACTCTCCCAAAACCTTGAAGTTAAACGGCTATCTCTATCAAAGATAATAGATAGTGGAACACCGTGCCTAGTTACAATTTCTTTAATATAAATTCGTGCTAGCCTTTTTAAAGAGTATCCCTCTTTTATAGATAGAAAATGCGCAGATTTAGATAAGCGATCAACAATTACCCAGATTGCATCATACCCCTTTGGAGTTCGACGTAACTTCATGACAAAATCCATGGTAATGTGATCCCACTTCCACATAGGAATCTCCAAAGATTGAAGACTTCCATACGGCTTTTTGTTAAACCCGATAATTCATAAAGTGAAAAAGTAATGAAAAACAATAAGTGATGAAGAACCAGAAGACCGATGAAGACATCAAGACAGAATTGGCTAAGTCTGGAGCACAACCAGAGGACCAATGGACGACCAAGGATGCGATGGAAAAAGCATCTTCATCGACCCTTTGGTCAACTACACTTAGAGAATTATTCAGCAATTCATCCAGAAGCATGCAATGAAGACTTAAAGATAACGATGATCCATCATACCATGAATGATAGCTGGAGATGACAAATCAACAGCAAGATTTCGAGTTTATCTTAATTACTTAAGCTTATCCATAGTTTAGATAAACATTATCTGTTAATAGAAGATTAGCTAAAAAGTCTCATTAGATAGTTATCTTCTTATTAGCTTATTAGTATAAATAGGTGGTTAGGCCTATTGTACAAATAGTCGCTTTTACGTTTTTCATTAATAAAGTGAAACCTTTGATGTTCAAGATTGTTCTTTAATGTTCATAATTTATTCTTGTGTGTTCATCACTTTCTTCATCAAATCACTATAATTTGGTTGTTATTAACTAGATTATTAGTGATTGAGAGATCTGGGATCAACAATTGGTGTCAGAGCTAATTGATTGATTTTCCAATAAAAAACAATCATAAAAAAATTCTCTCAATTTTTGATCTTCTTTCTCGTCAAAACGTAAATCGTTCTCTTCAAAATTCTCAATGGCCAACTGGAATTCTGAGTATAGTGTTGGCTCTCTCACCAAGCCTCTAACTCTTCAACGAGAAGAAAACCCACAATGGAAGATCAGAATGGTGAATTTATTGGAAGGAATGGACAGGAACTTCTTGCGATCTGTAATGGAGGGTCCTTACATTCCATAAACTCTTGTCCCAAGAGTTCCAAGAACAAACACCACGGCTGAAATTTCTGCCTACTATATGCCCAAGGATGAGAAGATTGGGATGAAGACGACATGGAAAGAGTAGAAACAGACAAGAAGGCCAAACGATTAATAATCATGGCCATACCCAATGAAATCTTCCAATCMYTCGAWGCATGTTCCACAGCCAAGGAACTATGGGATGAACTGGCAAGCCAACTAGAAGGAGGAGCAAAAACGAGGAAAAATCCTAGAGCACAATGTCTTAACGAATATACTAATTTCAAGGCCCTTCCTGATGAACCAATACAGAAGACATATGATCGTTTTAACACATTGATCAATCAATGTCGTCGAAACGATATCTCCAGAACTAAGGAAGAAAACAACGATTTATTCCTAAAAAGTCCGGGCGATGAATGGACTCAGCTGTCTATGTCCCTTCAAGCAAACCAGGACCTAGACGGCTGGTCACTTCATGATCTGTATGGAACGCTTGCAGCWCAAGARAATGACATAATGAAAAAGAAGGTTTCCATCGGTGGACCTCTTGCCCTTGCTACCGATGAAAAGGAAAAATCAAGGACCTCTACCAAATAACATAAAAAGAAAGGCCAGAAAGCATTGGTGGTAGAATCAGAATTTGAAGAAGAAACTTCTGAATCAGATG